TTTGAGTTACCTCTTTGAAAAAAGACACGACTTACAAATATCTATAGAGGGTTAATATTCTTTACGTCTTTTTTTTTTAATTTTTACTTACTTTTTCGTAACGCAATTTGGAAAAACGCCGTCCACAAAACAACTAACAATTGAATATTTTCGTATTTTTTTTAGGTTAAGTATTAACTAATTTTGATTAACGCCGTCGAAATAACAAAGATTTTGGACGTCATCCAAAAATTAGTGAACCGCCAATTTGTCATTCTACAAAAGCAATTTGTACAGCAAACTCTAAGCATTTTAACGAAATTTGTAATTTATAGAAACCGCTATTTACTTCGCTTTAAAGAACATGAGTTTTTAGTAATGGAATATCGAATTTTTAAAACGAAACTGCAATTTATGGAAAACGTTTTCGTTCCCTCTGCAAACATTTTAATCTTCTTCGACAGGAGATCATTTTTGCGGAGAAATACATTTTTAAAATAAACAGTAGGATGGATAATATTAAACTATATTAAGGTTTGACTTTGGCTACATAAAATTATATTGATTAACTAACGAACTCAAAGTTTTAAGACACTAAGCGATACTTTTCGTCTCAATTAAGTATAGCATACTTACACTGAGATGCTGTTTAAGCGCCTACTTAAACAGTACTTAAAGATTTCGAATGCGGAAGTAAAACAAACATAATTTATAATGTTTATTTCAGTATTTATCAATAAATTCATCATTTACTATTAAAAACACTTTTGCATCTAGACCAAAAGTACTGTGACGTCAGAAGTATTAAAAAAATAACGTAGAACCTTCATCCTTTTAATAACGCAACATTAAGCTGACAGAGTTTGGAGGACATTCTATTAGAGTCCGCATGCGCTGTTCAAACTTTTTAAATGAATTATCTCCACGTTTTTGACTCTAAGATAAATTTGTTAAAATTATAATCTTATTTTTAGTGTTATATGAATTAATTGTGACGTATAGGAGACGGTCGCAATGGAAATAATAAAAGTAAATACAATTTCATGAAAAGTATTATACACCTGAATTGATCCAGCAAAATTTTGCATGGTTGCTAAAATTTTAATTTATATTTTAGCAAAATTTATATGTCTATAAAACTATAAGTTAAGCGTTTCATATACATCTAGGGTTATAAAGTGTAACAAGATCAGAATGAAACTATTTCCCCACCGCGTTACTTAATGCCGGTCGTAAAGTCAGATGATAACTCCCAGGGCGGCGCTTCGTGTTCCATTTAAAAAGAAATACAAGACGTCTCCCCTTTTGTATTACTGAAGAATCGTGACAATTTTGCGACTCTTGTTTTGCGTTTGTTGCAATGCAATGTCGCATTTCAATGGTTTAACTCTTTCTCTTCAAAATATTTAGTATTTTATTGGGTTTTAATCTCTATGCTTATCCAAACTTAGTATGTAGTATCAGCTATCATTTAGCGGTCTAAGTCTTGGTCTATAATTTACATACTAGGTATTTAAATATTTTGACGCTATAACTTTGACCCTACAATATTGTTCACAGCCTCGCACAGCAGCGTTGTGGAATGGTCTGTCCTCGGCGGTATTTCCAAACCGCTACGACTTAGGGTCCTTCAAGAAGCGAGCTTATCACCATCTCAAAGGCCGGCAATGCATCTGCGGTTCCTCTGGTATTGCTGATGTCCATGGGGGTCGTTGAACACCACCTTCTGTTATAAAAAAAATTATAATATATCTACTTGGTAAAAATAATATTTTCTAAGTGTTAGAAATTTAATTAAATCATCTTGTTATTACTTTGTGCAATTATATAGAGCTTTAAATGCTAAAAATTATTAAAACAGTAATTATTTTCTACAAAAAATATCTACACCAAAGAACACAATTTCAAGATTACAAATTTTATTATCCTTGTAAATAATAATATTTACCAACACAATACTAAGAACCATATAAAAACAAATCCTAAATATAAATCTATTCCGGGTCCATATATGAAAAGCGTTCCCGTTTAAGTAGAAATTCCTGTCCCTACAATACAAAACACATCGGATTTCTGATTGAATTTCCGTTCCAAATGATTTACTCGGCATAAATAAGGGATTCAACGTCCGAATGCGGACATTGCAAGTTTCTTTCATCTCAGCTGTGACGAATGGTTATATGAATTTTGTTTGTCCGCATTTTCCCCTTTGTCCCTTATCAAGTGTTTTAAAACAGGTATAAGAAAATGGCTTCTACGTAAACTATTGTATGTTTGAAATGTAAATTTTGCAAGGCAAAACTTTAAACATTTTTGTTTTTATTATTAGGTGTCAAACAAGCAAGCAGTCACGTGGATTCGCCGAAAAAGCGAAGCCTACGCTGTCCATAGACATGAAAATTTGCAGATGCGCTGCCTACCTTTAATCGACGGAGGAAAGGATGCGCAGAAAAAGAATATTTCCCCTTTCTGGGCATCCCCTCCTTTGTCAAGTCAAGTTCCCGTTACCATCCATTCCTTATAAGAAAGGGTTGGAAGAGGAAAGTACACAAAATTAGACCATGAATACAATTGATTACGACGTATCAAACCTAATTTTAATAAGATTAAGTATTTGTCAATATAATTAAAAAAAAACATTAGAAAGACATAAATTGCAAAATTTTGGCTTTTAACAGTTTACGTAGGAGCCATCGAAATGTTAACGAGATTTGTTTCTAACTTGTGTGTAAGTAGATCACGTTTTGATCGTTTGAACTTTGTAAGCTTATGGTTGTCGGTTTAATTTAATAAGGTGTATACGGTCATGGGTTAATTTGTATAATTTATTATGTTTTTCTCGTTTAAAACATTGAAGCTATGCAAATATTTTATTTGAGAAAGGAGTAAATTCAATGACGGCAGATAAAAATATGAATGGAAAGGTATACTGTGCCGACTTTCCTTCGGGCAAAGGTTGACGAAAATCACGAAATAATTCAATTACGCTTTATAACAAGCCTTTAGGGCCTGCAGTATACAACCGGCTGCCGGACTACGTTACAGCGGCACCCAGCCTCGCATCATTCAAAAATAAATTAAAACCAGTGCTTATCGAGAAAGCTCTGTATTGTATTGTATTGTATTGTAACACGTTCATTTATTTTTACGTATAAAAAGGCGGTAAATTTAGTGTTGGAACCAAAGGCTAATGCTATTTGCATACTGTAATTAATAGGTAACCACAAAGTGACGTTAATTAAACAAATAATGAATAAAGAGTTTTGTGGGCGACACGTAATTAGTGCATTGTGACATATGAGTTACTTTACGTCGCTGAACATTACAATGAGTTTCCAGTGACGAACAGCTTGTATAAAAATGTATCGTCATCTCTCTCATTACCTTTGAGAAAACAGAGATAAGATAAATTAAATGACACTGCTCGACGGTTTCTAATCGAAGATTATGTTCCGCAAATCTCTACATCCTGTGAACTAATGACGTCATAATGCTGTCTGTGAAGACTTCAAAGTTTTAGTATACTATCGCGGGCGACTCCGTCCGCACGGAATTAAATAGAGAACTAATTAGTAGCATGTTTTCTTCCAGACATCCATCCATATTCTACATCCTTGGCAAGATTCATCAAGATCCGTTGAGCCTTTTTGGATATAGCTTCTAACAAACGTCTATCCATCCCCCTCACCATCCATCATAACATTCGTATTTATAATATTAGTAAGACAAGATTCATTTAGTTTCACATAGCACATAGCAACAAACTTTAAGTTAGAGTTAACCAGATCTCGCATTGTGTGGAAGTGGTACTATTTTAATTTAAAACGCCGTTCTTTTGTTCTTTATTACTAGTACTCCAGGAAGTTGTTGACTGTCCAGTCGTAAATATATCTGTCTCGCTCTCTCCTGTTGACCGTAGTAAAATTATAGAGTACATTTTTTAACTCGTGTACTTTACACCCGCATTACGTTGTATTAATTAATTCGTTACATGAGAACGGTCGTCCGTTGTCGCAGTTCATTAACACTGTTATAAAAATGTATAATTAAATAGGATGTATTTTATCGCTGGCATATCATAAACAATCCAGCGACTTTAGTTTTTATAGACAATATGAAAATAACCTGTTTAGTAAAAAAGACTGAATGACTAACACCTCACTTGTCAATATTGGTTCAATTGTATCGGCTCTAGGTTTTTATAACTTATATACAAACATATATACATAAAAACGAATTTACATACGCGTGAAAAATATTACCCTATTTAACAGTCAGATAATTAGTATAGATGTTTGTTGGTGACGCAGTCTGATCATGAAAATAAGGCGATATATTGGCTAACTAACTAGCAACGCCAAAAAACTTAACAATTATGATACCTTTTGGCTATGAAATTATTATTTTTTTCATGATATTCTCTGAGGTTCTTGCAAGCTTTATAAGTCGGCATTTCACCAGAGGCTAATTAAGTTTGAAATGTGACAAGGGTTGAGCCCCGCACGCTACATGCGGTAAGTAATATGAAATCTTTCACTATTATGCCGGATTTTAGGCTTTGAACATTACAGCGAAAGCTTTCACATGATTTTAATATTAGTTTTATTAACAAAATAGTTACTTAAACCTTTATCTATAAAAAATTAAAGCAATAGGAACGTTCTAAAATAATATACTTTGGTATAGAAAATGAAATGTATGGTAATATTTTATAAGTAAATCGTTCTTACGACAGTACTGAAACTAGACTACTAGAATACTGACGAGAAATCTCACCGTAGTCTCCTACGGTGAGATTTCTCGTCAGTATTCGTTTAAATTGTTTTTTTAATTAGCCCGTACTATAGTATCTCGAATCTAACCAGATTTAGAACTAGGTTTAAAAGTTTGCGCGCGCATTCGGTAGCTCTTCACACGATTGCTAAAAGAAATAAATTAGATGTTTCGTTAGTTGCTTCTCACTTCTACTACGGGTTAGACGTGTTTAACAAAAGTGAAAAGTTTCGCGGTGAAATGTCAATGTTTTGTTTATACGAGTGATAATAGAATGTGGTTTTGCATCGAGTTTGATTGTTTTAAGATGTTATTTGTTGGGATAAGTAAGTAACTTAAGTTAATAACTTGTAAAAAGTATTATTCAAAGAATATTCTAACAATTTATAGCATTAAGATTAATCATAAGTTACTTAATAAATGTTTTTGTATTTTCGTTTAATGTAATTAGAGCTTTGCGTGTCAACGAAATTAACTACTTCTATTAACGTTATCGTTCGGCTTTGTTACTTTACTAAATAAATATAAAATGATTTTTTTGTACTTAGAAATTATTCGTAAATAATATAAAGCAATAAAATAAACAAGGAAACGCAGTGACCGGAATTAAAGTCTCATTCAATGTTACCAATTACATTACCTTGTAAAAAAATTACGTTTTTCGACTTTTTATTATCACAACAGTACTTTCTGGAATTAGGGACGGGTTCGTGGCTATAACATCATTCCTTGTCAATTTTAGGACTAAATAAATTTAAAGAAATACGGGTCGTGGTTGTAATATATTGGTTTTCGGATTGAAATCTATGTGCGAGAGTGAAAAATACTCAAATAGTACGTTTCGTTGTGATAAATAATACTACGTGATAAGAGACAAGAATACAAACTTTGACTTTTATTTATATAGTAGTATAGGTAGTCTAGCTAATTAGTGAAGGGTAAAAATTCAATTAAACGTTTTTTTATTGTTAAATTAAAATGAAAAGCTAATAATTATAGTATTTTTTTTATATCATAAGGTGGAAAACAAGCGAGCGGCCACCTGAAATCGCTGAAATAGCGAAGTGACTGTTGCCCATAGACATACGCAATTGCATATGCGTTGCCTACCTTTAATCGACGGAGGAAAGGATGCACAGAGAGAAAATAATTTCCCTTTCCATGCATTCTCTCATCCGAAAAGTAGGATGGGAAGGGAAAGAGGACTAAATTAGGCCTCCGGGACGCACACTCATCAGACGAAACGCGGAATTGCTTCCACTTGACGCCTGTCTTCTGTGTGGTCGAGGTACTTCATCGGGCGAGCCGGGCCAATTCGTGCGAAGATGTTAAAGCGGGCTCTACCACTGTTAAAATAATTATAGTATATTAAAAACCACATATGAATCTAAAATAATACTGAGTGTGGTTTTATTATATTGAAATTTATTTTTTACTCGGCACAGGCTATTCAATTAAGTGTTCTTTGTTGAAAATTTTGTAAGCCGAATCTGAACATTGCAATTTTATATGAAACATAAAATTGTATACTATAAAATTTTGTGTTGTGATTTTCTTTTGTAAGGGAAATAATGTGATGCAATCTGCACATATTTGCAACGAAATTCAAAGATGTTTAGTAGTCAACCTGCACAGGGCCAGTGTGGTTGACTATGGCCTCATCATCATTATCAGCTCACTACACGACCCCACTGAGGGGCTCGGAGCCTGTCCCAAGTTAGAGGTGACTAAGCCATAGTCAATCACGCTGGCCAAGTGCGGGTTGACTTTACACATGTCTTTGAATTTCTTCTCAGATATGTGCACGTTGCATCACGATGTTTTCCGTCACCGTAAGAACGTCGGATGAATGTATATATGTAAATCTGAAATCGAAAAACACATTGGTACATGGCGGGATTCAAACGCAGGACCGACAGATAACAAGTCAAGTGTTGAAAAAAAAGTAGTTTTCAAACGGTTAAAACACCTGCTCAACTAAACAGTGTCTCACTGTTGTATAGTTAATTTTAATTTGAAACTTTCTCGTTAGCATTATACAATCTTTCAAGTCATGACAAGATCATTCGTAAAATTTTTGTTGTGATAATTTATAGACCTAATTATTATACAAATCTAAGATCGTATCACAGAGTATTTATCTAACTTTCCATGTAATATACCTTTAATACGGATTCCAAGTTATTGGAGAGCTTGAATCTAAGTTACGTTCCTAAGTTACTTGATACTAGCTAAGTGTACTTGGCGCCAAGCCACCTACAAGCTAGTATAAGGTATATTTAAACCAGTCAGTTTAGACACTCTTTTGCAAAGGAAATTCTTTACGGTATAAATACAAATTAAGAATTTTCTTCAAAGTATTTCTTATACATTGGATGGATGGATGTTTATAAGAAGACATCTGCGGAACAGGTTAATGGATCGTAATTATAATTGGCATAGATGTAGTCTAGAAAAACACACAAATTACTAATTAAGTTTTTTTTTTTAATTCAGTGGAGATGGAGTCGCGGGCTAAAGCTCGCAATTTATAAACTTTGTTTAATCTATTTTTGATTCAGATCATTCCATAAACATAGTGCGTCACAAAATGTAAACAACAGTGGTATCAACACGTTCGCAAATCCCTTTGAAGGGTACATATTGCCGCGGCTCGAACCGCACACGTAATTTAATGTGTTTAATGAAAGCGTCGAAAAGCGGGATATAATCCAAATGAGTACAGAATAATTAATGATACATCCAATAATTCTGTAAAAGTGGAACTTTTTATTTTAATTTATTATTAACTATAACTCTTTAGAATTCCCAACAGAATGTTGTTTTCAAATTTTCTTTTTAATATGACATTAATAAATTAACTGGTAGATATATAAAGAACTAGCGGCCACCCGCGACTCCGTCTACGTGGAAATAAAATAGTAGCCTATGCGTTCTTCCAATCTGTGTTGTACATCTATGCCAAATTTCAGCGAGATCCGTAGAGCCGTTCCGGAGATGCCTTCAAACACACATCCATCTAAACATTCGCATTTAAAATATTAGTAAGATGGAAGTAAATTGGAAACATAAATTTAAATAATTAATTATTACACGCAAAACGGAATAAAGTTTCTCGGACAACGTTAAAACTCAAGCAAAAAATTAAATTCACCAAAACCCCTTAAACTTTACTTCAGAGACCAATCTTGATAAATGAATGCAACGAAGGAAACGCGTTAGATTTACTTTTAAAGATCTCTAGAGAATTTCCGGAAAATAACCGTCGCTTTCATGCTTTTTATTTATACTTAACAGGAAATAATATTATGTAGAAATTCCTTTACTTTTCCAAATTAATATTCAAAAGGTATTTGATATTAGAATTTAATTTTAAAATCTTTTAAATATATATAACTAGCTGTCGCCCGCGACTCCGTCCGCGTGGATATATAAAAAAACTTAATTAGTGTAGATCCGTTCAGCCGTTCTAGAGATATCTTCAAACACCCATCCATCCATCCACATCACATCCATCTAAACATTCGCATTTATAATATAAAGTAAATTAAATAAAAATCAGCTCTTCAAGGCATAAATTCGAAAAAAAAAGAATTTAAAACAGTCTAATGAGTAATGAGTAGCCTAAGTCTTCTTCCAGACTATGTTCAATGTGTATGCCAAATTTCATTGAGATCCGTTCAGCCGTTTCGGAGTTATCTTCAAACAAACATCCATCTAAACTTTGACATTTATAATATTAGTAAGATTAATAAGATTAAGTTGATAATTTTTTGCACAATCTATGAGATGATGATGACAGCAATAATGTTAATGAACGAAGAAGTAGATCTTAAGTTGCTTTGTGTTGTAACCCAGTTTACAACTTTGTAATTCAAATTCCACGGGCGCATTATGCCATAAAGTCTCTTACATTACCGAGCCATTGTGAACTCCGTTTTAAGTGATTCAAAGTGATGCAAATTTTTAGTTCACAGCTTTGTTCTACGCTTTTAGGATATGGTTATTATATTAACTAAAGAGGATTAGGATAAAGTCATCTTAATATAAAATGGATGTATGGATGCATGTTTCCTACCATAAATCACCGAAACAGTTGCATATTTCTGAACGAAGTTTTCCACAGAGACTGAATGGAATTAGAATTAGCAAAATATTTCTCGTCCCGATACAACGTATTTTTTTAAACATTAGTAAAATGACAAAATTGACTTAGCCCATCAAAACAATTGTTTAATAATTTTAATTCACTTGAAAGAAATAATGCTTGCTTTTAATAAAAAGTTTTAATGTACGAATCTATAATATGTTAATGGCTAGTTTTGACGTATTTGAATAAAAAATAAAATGACTCTTCTGCTGTTATTAAACACTAGTCTAGCTTTAAAATAATCATATTAAATCTAACACAAATTTAACAATATAATGTAAATTTAAGCCCTTTGTGTTGTCGTTGCTCTGTTTAATATTCACTTTAACAAAACAATCGGTTCGACGATGATATCCGAACCGCATTTAATTTATTTACGCCCCGCCTGAATAGAGGTTTACATCCCAACATAACACAATGAACCGCACTGCGGAATTTTATTTTAAATAAAACATAAATCTTTAATATTTTTTTTTGTTTCATATTTATTATGCTTATATGTTATATAGCTGTCGGAAGAATAAAAGCTTAATTAGTAGCTCAGGTATTCTTCCAGACTATGTTCTATACCTATGCCAAATTTCACCGAATTCCGTTTAGCCATTTTGGCCAAATACTTTCTAACAAACATCCATTAATCCGTCTCTTCATCTAAACTTTCGCATTTAAAATATAAGCAAGATGTCAAGTTAAATATCTTATAAATACATAAATCTAGTAAGTAAACTCAGTTATGTTAACTTGTTAACGAGTTAATTGCAAACTTAATGTATATCAAATAGACGTAGGATTTTTTTGTGAAAAAAAACGTATGCAAACTTAAAATAATATTTAAAACATCATACTACGAACACAATACAAATTATGTTTGTATTTATAAGCTTCTTTATTTAAAATTCGATACTATTTTTAAGTCCTCAAATATATTTAGTTGCTAATATTGGGGGCGGAAAGCCGATGTACTGATTACCAGCAGGTCACTGATTTTTACATAACGTTAAACTTTGTTGGTTTACTGGCTTCGTAGTTTGAAATTTGTAGGTGCTCGTTTTAAGCCACCTGAAACTGTTAGCGCCATCTATTGTCGGATATATGCAACGTACATAATTAACTGTGTAGAATGTACAATATCTCACGAACATTATTACTGCGGATGACATAATTATAGAATATCGTTTATTACTGACCGATTAGAATTATATGTCATGACATCATCAGCTCACTATACGTCCCCACCGAGGGGCTCGGAGCCTACCCTTAGTTAAGGGTGATTAGGCCATAGTCAACCACGCTGGCCAAGTGCGGGTTGGTTGACTTCACACGTATCTTTGAAATTCTTCTCAGATATGTGCAGGTAGCATCACGATGTTTTCCTTCACCGTAAGAACTTGGTATAAATGTGCATATGTAAATCGAAAATCGAAAACCTGCAGATTACAAGTCAAGTGCTTGACCACTGAGCCACCGACGCTCCTATGTCATATAAACTTATATTATTAAGAGGAAAGAATTGATTGTTTGTTTGTATCGAATAAGCTCCGAAACTAGTGAACCTACTTTTGACTGAAAGATAAACTATTCACGGGTGCTGTATGCTATTTTTTTTTTAGATTTGTTACATTTTTTTATTTCGCTCGGATGAACTTGTACGCATAGTTGTATCGTAAGATAGTCTTTGTAAAGGCAATACATTTCTACATTTACCCAAGTTTACATAATAGTGATAAAATATCTTTTCATTCTTAATACAATCTAATAAATTTCTTTGTAACAAAAGTACACTTATTATATGTACAAGAGAATATGTAAGTTTAATATGTGTTTCTTTGTTACAGATTAAATCAAAATGAAGAGACGAATCGCGGGCGTAATGTACATCCTGATAACGATTGCGCTCGTTAACGAGATGTCCACAGCGCACGCCAGGGACAACAATAAAAGACGGACAAAAGATAAAACTGGTGGCTTTCAAAAGAATATTTGCGACATCACCGATCGTGACTCTAAAGTCCATTGCTATTGTGAAAACGCAAGAGAACCAAGGAACGCATCAAAAGCGGAATGCTGGGTATTCAACGGTGGGATATCGCCCGATGATTACATCTGGCAGAGCTTTGCCTCGCAGCCCACTTTGCAAACTTTATCGTTTAATGTTCGCGTCGACGGCGCACTAGGCTACGTGCCTACAAAGGCACTCCAATACTTACAAAGGCTGCGAACCATTAACATTAAATATGGAAACATTGTTGACGTCACAACTTTTGCTTTTGCAAATTTAACCAACTTAAAGGAGGTGACTCTTTCCCAGAATCAAATCGAAACGTTACAACAGTACGCGTTCGCGCACCTGCCTAATATAACCATGATAAATCTAGAAGAAAATATGATAGTAGAAATTGCTAGGGATGCATTTTTCGATATACCCAAATTGCAAAAATTAGTGTTTACAAAAAACAATATATCCCATATCAAAGATGGTGCGTTTCAGTATACGTTTAATTTGCTAGAATTAGATTTGAACAGGAACAATATACAACATTTGAATCGACATACATTTGATGGATTAGCAAATCTTCGGAGGTTGGATCTTCGACGAAACCATATATTTAATTTGACAGAGTTCACGTTCGCGGAGTTGTGGAACTTGCAAGAGCTTCTCCTGGGAAAGAATGACTTGAAGTATATATCGGAGAGAGCTTTCGATGGGTTGTCTCAACTTAGAAAGTTATCCCTAGACGATAATAAGCTCGCGGCGCTGCCTTCCGGTTTGTTCGAGGGTGTGAGAGGCCTCAGTTCACTTGATTTACGCTCCAACGAACTACACGCCCTAACTTTCGACAACATCAAGCCCATATTAGACAACTTGAAGCCACAAAACAGCAATTTGCTCGTTGAAGGTGAATATTTAATAGCTATCCGTAGTCTATGATGAACTTGAGACATAATTTGAATGTTTTATTAACGTCAGCACAACGAGTTAGGTGGTACGCTTACTAGTTTGTGTTTAATCACTCCTTAGGGTGTATTGAAACTTGATAAATAACAAATTTTGCATAACTAAACACCCTGTGTGTTTCTATGTCATGAAATACTTTTTCTTTCTTTTCTACACTTAGAATTATTCCAGCGGCTGTTTGCCAACATAATAAAAGAAACATTATTAGGTCTGTTAAGTTTTTTCTGTTGTGGTTGTTTTTTGTATGTTTACAATTAGATGTAATTTATTTTAAATATTATATAATAGTATAAATTAAAAAAATTGAATAGTTCTTTGAATACTTATTAATTCCTTGAAAGTCAAGTGCTACGAATGTTCGTGTGAATTTTTAATTTTAATGTTGTTCGCTGAAGCGAATATTTTAAAACTTAAATACGAAGCGTAAAAAACTTCTTGTATATGTAAATTTTATACAGACTTTGTCTTTATTTATTTTATTCCAGTTACTGAAATAAACAAGCAATTTTATAATTACACAATGTTTTAGATTTCGTGATTTATTTAAACAAATTTACATGAAATTAAATCAATTCTATTGTATGTTATTCGTAGAAATATGAGAAATAATTTCCGCAACATAACAGAATTAAATCCAACGCGCAAACAATAAAATTATCAGTTAACTTACACAACATAGCCTTTTAACATGATTATAATGATATATTGACTGAATCTCGGATCAGGTTGCAAACAACTTCCGTAATAAAATGTCAAAAGAGAAGGGAATTAAATAAAATCCTTACATAATTATTATAAAGTTTGTATTGTTTATACCTGAGAAACAGAGATTAAACAGTATAACAGTTTAACAGTGGTAGAGCCCGCTTTAACATCTTCGCACGAATTGGCCCGGCTCGCCCGGTGAAATACCACGACCACACAGAAGACAGGCGTGAAGTGGAAGCAATTTCGCGTTTCGTCTGATGAGTGTGCGTCCCGGAGGCCTAATTTAGTCCTCTTTCCCTTCCCACCCTATGTCTTATAAGGAAAGGATGGGCAGTGGAAGTGGACTTTCCGGATGAGAGGATGCATAGGAAGGGAAAACATTTTCTTTCTGTGCATCTTCTCCTCCGTCGAATAAAGGTAGGCAACATATGCAAATGGCGTATGTCTATGGGCAGCGGAAGCAGTAATTGTAGTCCTCTTCTCTTCCCATCCTTTTCTTATAAGGAAATTATGGATAGGGTAGGTAGATTAGGCATAGGACGGGACGCTTAGTAAGGGGTCCACTTTAGATTATAGGTAAGCAACCAATCTACAAGTGACCGATGTTCGTGTGCTATTTTTTACTATGAAAAATTTTGTGTACACGGATTTCTTTAGAGAAAACATACAGCGAAATATACGTGTGTTGAAATTTTAAAGATCTTTTATTTTTCGTTTAAAATGTATTGCTTTCCATTCACAGAAAACAACTTCGTTTGCGACTGCCGACTGAAATGGATGCATTCACTGCGAAACGATACAAAAAGCCAGAGCACTAAAGATTCACTCGAGAGCGTCACTTGCAAAAACGATCCACCCATCGTTAGTTCCGCTTACAACAAAATGTCTGCATCCGACACCAATTTGGATTTCAACAAAGATATACTACATGCTGGAATTACTATTGAAACTATTGATAAAAATAATATAACAGACAAAAAGACAACAGCTGAAGATCTATCGAAGGACCATATGAATGACATTCTAACACCTTCGAAGAAAGGTATTAAAAGAACAGTATTGAAAATTCCACCCGAGACGTTACCATGTCCAATAGAAGTTCGAACAACGACTGAAATTATTCCATACATGATCGACCCAATGATACCAATTCAAAATGAAATGAAAACATTTCGATTCCATGATATGAATAGTGCTTGTAGACTGTCTGTTTCCATTGTATCGAGTATGTGTTTTGTTTTTATATTTACATAGAATTTAAGTCAATTTAAATATGGGAGATTCAGACTTTATCTTATTCAGATAAAGTAGTGTACTGAAAGTGTATAGCACTGAAAAGTTGAATATTTTTAAATTGTTAATTATCTTGTATTTCAAACATTTCTTTATTGCGTTCAAGGTATTTGTTTTTCTAACTTTGGTGAGACATTATCGTAAACTAATATGAACGGTTAAAACATCATCATCATCAGCTTACTATATGTCCCCACTGAGCTCGGAGCCTACCCTAAGTTAGGGGCTGCATCACGGTGTTTTCCTTCAACGTAACGGTTAAAAAAATTCACGTATATTTGCCCGGTGACAGCGCCGATTAGTTTCGAGCCCGTTGGGTGCCCTTCATCAGGGTAAGTGACGGAGCCCCTCGATCATCTCGCGCCTGCGCTCTTAGGGCGCGCCTCGAGGAGGCGGGGGGCAGGGGATGCGCCCGCGTCTTCGACGAGTTTGATACTGAAGCGTGACTGATGTTGCTGTTCAAGCTTAGTTTCAGGTAGTCCTGAAACCGACTAAATATACGTGTTTTATCCTTTTTTTTTAAGCCGTTAATTTGTTTTTTATTCTATAATTAATGTATTGATCAGTATAAATGTGTAATATTGTAAAATATTAGATTTAATATTAATGTAAGTTGCTCTGTTATAGATTATAAAATAGGAACATTTAATTTAAGATATTTATTTTATCACTGTCGTTGTCGATGTTGTTTTAAAGATATATTTAAAAAAGCACTTTATAGTTAATATTGCAAATGGTAATTTTATTAAATACATAAATTAAATGTAACATAGATACTGATTTTTATGCCTTAACCTGAGTATATCCACTATCGAAAACATATTGTCATCTCTTTTATTTTCCTTTGGCAGAAAAGTGACACCGATATACACAGTTTTACCAGTAGAAAGTCAGGACAAATTGGTTTCGGATTAAGGATTGTATTGCAGGACATATTGTTGTCTCGGATTTTTCAAAGAGAATGTAAGAGATGGCAATATGTGTAAGTACAAGTATCAACAGTCAAAATATTTAGTTTTATTTATATATAATAGTATATTACGATAATTACAATATATGAAATATAATAAACATATTTTTTATTATTTAAACCTGATGCAAAGAAAATATAAAGGACAAAAGATATATAGTCAAACCTCTATAAGAGAGAGTCATTGTTCCGTACCCACAACACCGTAAGCGAGAAACTCTAGTTGTAACGTAATCTCTTTAAGCGAGAAAAATATCGCGGTCCCCTTAACTCTCGCTCACCCTGGTCATCAATTTTAATGCAATGAAATTTTTACACGACTTGTTTTATCTTCTTACTTTGATTTTAAAACACTTTTTAATTCCCCCAAATATTTTATTAGTTCAATTAATATACTATTAACTAGAAATAAGATATGAGCATTAAAATTATCAAGAAAACATAATTAGGATTGTCTGCAAACATTTTATAAGTACATTTATGTAGAAATGTTATTTAATCTTTGTTAATTGCGTATGTATTAACATTGCGTAAGGCGAATTAATTAATTTGTAAATGGAATAATTAAATTGCATTTAAATGGAAACAGACTGTTGCCATGGTTACCCTTCTTTTGTTTCTAAACTTACAGATACATTCCATAATTAAATTTAAGCAACTAATCGTGGGTTTGTGAGGTCAAAGACTATGTATAAAACATGTCGCCATCCCTTTTAAACGGGGATTTTAGTCTCAGAAACCCAAGGTAAATCATTTTCAAATACATAACGACATGTAAAGGTCAGATGCTCATATCTTATAATGGTCCATCTTTACTTAATATGTTCAAAAGAATTAAATGTTGAACATTGTATAAAGTATTTTGTCGAGGCAATTTTGTATGAAATAAAGGTAAAGTAATTTTTAACTATTGTTTTATTTATTTACAAGCTATCGCCCGCTACTCCGTCTGCGCGGAATAAAAAAAAACCTTAGTAAGTAGCCTATGTTTTCCTCCAGACTTTAGTCTACATCTATAACAAATTTCATTAACATCCATGCAGCCGTTCAGGAGATACCTTCGAACAAACATCCATCCATCTAAACATTCACATTTATAATATTATTAAGATAGCCTTTGTCCATGACTTCATCTGTGTGAAATTAAAAAAAACGTAGTAACTAGCCTATGTATTCTTACATACTGTACTAAATTTATACCAAATTCAATTAGGATCCATGTAGCCGCTCTCGAAGTTACTTACATACATAAAAACAAACAAACATACAAACATTCTCATGTATCATATTAATAACATGATACATAAGAATGTAACACCGCAAAATAAAAAAATGACGTTATAAAAACTCGAAGTGAAACTAGATACAGTATAAATGCCAATGGATAAGAAACCTATCTATTTGACGTGTTATATTGTATTTCACATTTCTTTTCCCGATAAACTGAATGACTCGACTAAAGTTTAGTGAACCATGACCGATACTTATTTTTATACGATATTTGAAAAAGAAAAAAATCACAGTGGTAGAGCACGCTTTAACATCTTCGCACGAATCAGCCCGGCTCACCCGGTGAAATACCACGACAGAAGACAGGCGTGAAGTGGAAGCAATTAGGCGTTTCGTTTGATGAGTGTGTGTCCCGGAGGCCTAATTTAGTCATCTTTCCCCTCCCACCCTTTTTCTCATAAGGAAAGGATGGGAAGTGGAAGTGGACTTTCCGGATGAGAGGATGCATGGGAAGGGAGGATCTTTTCTTTCTGTGCATCCTCTCCTCCGTCGATTAAAGGTGGGCAGCGCATATGCAATTGCGTATGTCTATGGGCAACGGTTACTTCGCTATTTTAGCGACTTCAGGTGGTCGCTCGCTCGCTTGCCACCTTATGATAAAAAAAAAATTATTTGTTCATAGAATACTGAAATGATAGAGTTGTCCATTGGCATTTCTATCCTTTTTTTCCAGAGAGAAATGCTTTATGCATACTCCGCGCCCCTGGGGGGGACGCGGTAGTTATGTGGGATTCTCCTCCATAGCGGAGGCATACCCACTAAACCCCTCTGTTCCTCCAACGCATCGGGACGGGACCACGGGCACGCTTTCGCTCTCGTCCGCGGCCCAGGCATTTCTATCCTGAATTAGAAGTTAGTAGTGATGGAACCCGTATTGAACCACTCTCACCAATGTTTTTTATTTCTTTATATTGTTGTGTTTTGTTTTTGTTCAATTAGCTAATACTATTGTTAGGAAGAAACTCCGGAAATGACCCAATATATTGACTCAACGCTAGCCTTACTAAAACGTCGACGTCTGTGTCCCCTCGCTATTCATTCTGACACTAGACTTTGTAACGAAAGCACGTCATTCGCGGTAAAGGATTGTAATTAATAATGTACGATTTCCAATCAAATCTAAGCGCGATGTAAATCCCAACACAAGTTTAACTTTGTATAATTTATTGTTGAACTAATAAAACATCGTTTCAAAACAAAATCAAATATCCACAAGCTTGATTTAATGTTATATTGAATAGAACCATTTATAAATAAAGCAAACATTTCGTTTAGTAAATATAAAATGAATAAATATTATCCAATATCGATATTGTTTTTCACAATTACTACGCTTGCTTTATTAATTCGTGTACAAACAGCTTAACAACTTTTATCAGAAGCAATATCAACCTACTGTTATACCAGTTTGAAATTAATTTAGTTTGTGGAACACGGCAGCAAATATTTAAATTATAATTAACACTTTAATAAAGTTATTTAGTTAAGAAAAAATCATTAACTAATATTTTTAAACGTTATAATAAAAATAAAGTTTTATTTTATTTACCGAAGGCCTTCAAATGGGATAATAAGATAATCTTACTAATATTATAAATGCGAATGTTTAGATGGATGGATGTATAATTGTTTGAAGGTATCTCCGGAACGGCTGCATGGATCTCGTTGAAATTTGGCTTAGATGTAGAGCATATTCTGGAAGAACACAAATGCTACTTATTAAGTTTATATTTAATAACGCGCGGACGGAGTCGCGGGTGGCAGGTAGTATCTCAAACAGATATAGAATAAAAAAATTAAAAGTGTAGTTAAAATAGTCGCTTGGAAACTTATGTAACAAAATGAACTAATAATAAGTGAACATCGTAAAAGTGGAAGTTAAATGACGCTACAACTCAAGAGATAAGAATCGTACTTTAGCATTGTATGAGTTATTTCAGACTTACAGAACTCTATCAAGCTTAGTTCGTATTATGCAGTTTAGCAAATATCATAGTCGTAACCAGTGGTTGACTCCTTCAGAAGTTTGTTATTGCGGACAAGTGCTCTGTTGCCAACTGTCGAGCAGTTGCTGCGCTAATACCGCATTTGTGCTATAAGTCTAAATAGTACTGGAATGTTTAGATTTATTGCACGAAATTATAATATTTGTGGGTAATAAAATACAGTACAATATTCAATTGTTTGTAATAATGTTGACGGATATTTCGAAGAACCAATAAATTTTAGAGTTGCTAATACAAATTTACAATACTAGTGTGAGGGATCTTTGCAAAAAAACTATTATTTCCTCACATTTCCAGGTTCTTTATTCATGTTCTGACACATGTTCTTATTTTTCTATAATTCAAAAACAAACATCACTTCTTTTTGACACATTTGTACAAAATAGGTTTTAATCTACAACGACTAGCTTTCTCCCACGACTCAGTCACCGTGGAAATAAAAACTTAATTAGTTCCCGTCAATTATTCGAACTTTTCTCACATTTCAAACCTTTCCTAGATCTCCGTTCAGCCGTTCTCGAGTTTTAGCGAGAGTAACGAACAGAAATTGATTTTTATGTATGTAATAGATAGATAAAAAAAGATTTTTTTACTAAAATATGTAATGATTATTTTTAATTCTTACTTTTTAATTATAATAAAAGTTAACCACTAAATGATAGAAGCAAAATAATAAACATTAGTATTTATTTTGATCAACCTAAAAATAATTTTCTTTTTTTCTATTTCAAAAATCTTGTACTACTAATTAAAACTTGCAAGAATTTATAAACAAAAAGAACACACATTAAATTGTCTTACCCGTATAAGACAAAGCTGCAGCAACTAAAATCTATTGACATAAGAACGTGAGTTTCTAAGAATTTTCCTAATCCTCCCCAATCGAACGCTCTAAATAAAATTTATGAGTCGGACTTAATGAGATTTATAGAGCAGGGGACTAGAATTAACATACTGACAACGACACTTAATCTTCAAAGGATGAATACGTTTGGAATTGATGCGTTTGAGTAGAGTCGATGGGATTTATTGGTATTAAATTGGGCCTAATAAACGAGTGCGTTATAGGATTACAATGTAATTTAATTGTGACGCAGCTGCGACAATAAACCTCTCGCTTTCTTGCCCTTAATATACGTACAAAGATAAGAAGTCAATAATTCTAACAATTTGTTAAACAAAGTCCCTTTGACAACGAAGATTGTATTAGTTACAAACACATAACTGTATTTAGAATC